TATGTATATCCATGTGTCTTTATATTCCAAGCATTTGAATTTTCAAAATCCATTTTTTGAGAAATTAGGACTTGCATTTATAAAATTTTTTTGAAAACAGTTTTGTATTGGAATCACAGTTGTAGATTCTATTGTCAACCATGGTTGAGAATATTTCTTAATTTTCGTTAGATTTATACATTAATAGTAGCCATTAAATACCATCTAGCAACCAAATTCTATGTGACAGTATACCTCTTGTATTATGTTGGCACACAATTATTTTACCCCACATATATTTATTAATTTATTATTGGTTAACTATTTATAAATTACAATAAGTATTATTTATCAATGTGACTTCATAATGTGTCACTTAATTTCGGTTCAATGTTAAATTTGGACTTGCTATTTTGAAACTTTAAATTCTTTTTATAGGAATTTGGATAAGAACTTTCAAAATTGTTGAAGAATTTTTGATCATTGTCCGTTTATATTACGTAGCAGCGTTTTTTTTTATTATCTTTTTAAAACATTACCATAAAAACACCACTCAAACACATCGTTGATTATTCTGCGTGACGAGCTTGTATTACCTAGTAAATAATTACATAGTATGTATACGAATTCTACTGGGATTACACTGGGATTCTACTGGCGGTTTACATTTTAATTTAATGTACGTAGATGGTATTTTCAAAATAATAACGTAGGTATTCAAACGGTATGGTAATTTTTTTTTTTTTGCCGAGCGGTTCAATTTGTATAATACATTATGCTTTATGTTTCTAGTTTTGCGAAATAAAGTGACACTGGTGCGACCGTACCGCACGGAAATGACGAGCGATCCCAGCGTCCCCAATGTACTTTTCGGCGTGCTTGTTAAGTGCGAAACATAGATCAGTCGTTTGCACCTTGTTGAAAAAGTTATGTAAATCTTCCTAAAAAAGTGTCATTCGAGGAAAAATGGAAAGCGCTTTAAACCGCTGTTTTACCCCAGAGACAAAAATCGTGCACGACTAATCGGCTGAAAGGCATAGTTCGAGATTCAGCAGACGGTAATTGTAATGCGGTAGAAGGGCTAAAAAATATTATGCAATATTCGAGAACGAGAAACCGGCTAGCAGCGCCATCGACGGAAATGTCTTCAAATAATATTTGCTCTCATCGTCGCAAGCTGCGATCATATTAAACGAAGAATTAAAGAAAAAAAAAAGGCCAAACTGGCTAACCGAATAGGCTTTTTGGACGTTTTTAATTGAGTGTGTGTGTGTGTGTGTCAACAAATTGTCTACAAACAATTTTGCTTCAATCAAAAAACGATAATATACTTTTTTTTATATTTTAAATCAAGTTCGTACATTGTGAAGGTCATTTTTTGGTTTTATAAATAGTTTTTATTATAATTGAGATAAACCAGAATGAATATTTACAATTTAATGATTTGATTATTTTAAATGTTTACGATTTATATTTTCTACCAGAAATCTCACATTAAATTTCAAGATTGGGATATTCTCTGAAAGAAAATTTTGTGTATATGGTGTATAAGAAAGTAGTTTTTTTGATTTTCTGTTTATTTTTCTTAATAATTATAATATATTCAGTGTCTACAACTAATATTTGTTGTAGTAATAAATGACGTTACGGTCGTTACTGACTGACGGCGTACTTTTAACCATGAATTTAATGTTTTGTAATAATAACTGATAACACAACATGTCCCAACATACATTATAATATACATATACAACATATACAATATAATATACACATACAACATACATTTATACCCCAACAAAGTTAACTGTCAACACATTTAATAAATTCCTTAAATCGTTAATTAACACATATTTATATAAATAAACATATGAAATTACATAATCGACTAGTTTTAAAATTAAACAATCCATTAATTTAAGTATTTATGAAAAAAACTGCTTTATGGCATAACTATTTGAGTTACTGTTAATCGATTCGAGTTCAAGTCAAACAAATTGGAAGCAAAGTCCTTATTCACTCAGACAGTCTATATGGTACGAATGTGTGATTAAAATCACTAGTTTTTGAAAAGTATCCAAGTAAAATAGAATTTGATTTGTTTTTTGTTTTTTTTTTTTTTATTATTTTTATCCATTGAAAATTGAACTATAAGATCAACAATCACAGATAATTCATATTCGAACATTATTTTAAAATACATAATTCAAACGCATTGTAATCAATAAATATTATGTAGGTATTAAAGGATTATGAAAAGTACAGTCAGGATTAAACTGAACAATACCGAACATTGGATTTTATTTTTAATGGACAAAAAACTTTATTTTATTTTATTTTATTTTTTTAATTTTCGTAATACTTATAATAATACTCATTCTATGTCAGTAATATTTTTTTTCGCTCAACAACCTCAAGATCATGACGGTTTATGCGAGTGAAAATTCTGCGGTCTGTAAATCTACTAATACTCCCGGGGAGGGCGATCGGTTTTCGTCTCGCCCAGCATGATTCCACGTTCGTACTCTTAGTTATTTTATTCCTAACTTTGGCAATCGGACGACCGAACACAGCTGGCAGCATCAAAGCTTTTTTACTGCACCAGAGAGCCGTCCGGTCAACGGGAGACCGCGACAGGAGTTAGTTTCTTTTAAGTCCCTCTTCGCAGAACTCGGGAGTCGATCCCTTACTTCACAGTTGTGACCACGAATTCTATGACACACTAATAATTGAAGAAAATAATGGCTTGTAGTCGTTCCTTAGAATAGATTTAAGTATAGGTATGGTCTTTGACGGGAATGATTTTATGATTTTGACTACTGACATACAACTATAAAAAATAGTGGTCTTGTCCTACTATTTTTACATGGTATCCAGTCATTTCGGCGAAAGACATTTTTAGTGAAACTATTTTTTAATTTTTTTTATTTAGAATAAAAACATAAAATCTTTCGCCAAGATTTCCTAGATTCTTTTTACATTATATACACGATTTTATCCATAGAATTATACACAAAATACAACATATACATGTATATTATAGTAATTGTGTACATCGAAATGGCGTTGGAGTTAGCAAACTGAATTAGTAGGTATTAGACGGTCGATCAAGCCGACGATAGTGAAAAAAAAATTCTCGAAAGTACCTATGTTTAATGAGTTTAATAACAACTACTGCTAACGGACTTTTTAACGGGCAAAGGTCTACCACGAAGGTGTGGATTGACCACTTGTTGATTGGTTTAGCAGTCGCGTGACTATAGTATATAATAATATATTATAATAGTGTAGTAAAGTAGTTATAAACATTTAAACGAATGCAATGTTTCAGAAAAATAATTTGTGTACCTGCATATTATTCAGAATTTCAGACGCCAAAAACGAGATAAGGATACTCATCAAAAGAAAATTATGTGTTAAATGTCTTATTGTTTTGGGACTGCCGTGAATATAATACAATTGAATTTTATTATAATTAGCTATAGCGTTTCCGTCACGTGATAAAAACCTACGGCTAAGATCAAAGGCCGTCAAACCTGCGTACACGCGTCGTGCCCGAGGCCTTTGTAAACACGGTTCCTAAAATGTAATATTCGCATCGAAACTATTCCTCGCGTAAGTTGTGCGCCAAAGGGTGTTCGTATAATATGGTTATAACAGTGTATACCTAATATCTATATACAAAACAATATCATTTTCATTGTTATTACGAAATTCGAGTTTCTGGCTTATTACATTATAAGTTTTAATACGGCACTTGTTAAAAATTACCTATACTTTTACAGCCTGATCGCTAGCACGCCTACGGAATATAACAGGTTCGTTACATTAGCACCTCCAGTTCGGGGGTAATTACATATTATAATTTGTATTATTCTCTTCACAGGAAAATCCGAATCAGTTTTGGGGGAGCGCAGTTTCAATATACTTACGTTGTTATTAAGGAGCCTAGATTTCAACACAAGTATATTTGTCCCCTACTGATGCTAGGACAATGAGTTACAATAATTAGATCCATTACAATTCACAAATTAATATTTTATTTATGTATTTTTTTCTTTAAGGCTATTTGTTTTATCTACTGCACTATTTTTGTTAAAACTTTAACTACAGCGAGAGATTATTAATTTTATTAGGCTAAATAGATGTATATATTTTTTTCTCGGAAAAAAATACTTGGAAAAATGCCTTAACTTTTTTATTGCTCACTTTGAAAAACACAGATTTTTCACTAATTGGTACTTTATAAAAATATACTTTCTGGTTTTCCAACAATTATTCCTAAAAATTAAACAAATATGACGATACTTTGAGTTTATTTTGTTGATTACTGGATTACCTTGGCAAAGTTTGAAAAGAGTATGACCAACACTATAGACTTACCAGTCGTTTTCTGATTACAACAACTTATACTTACGGTATATTATAAACTAAATATTACCCTACACACTTTCCTGACTTCTCTACGGTACAGTGGCGTACCCGCGGTATGGAGTTTGTCAAGTTTTTTTTTTTTAATAAATTTATATTTCAAAAATATCGTTCTAATATGTACTTCATAAAAGCCATAATCTCTCAACTCTGTTCTTTGAAACAGTTTTTACAGGTATTTTCGTTTGTTTTATATAGGCGAACATGATATCGATGGTGACATAGCAAAAGGGTCTAACTGACACGCTTTCATCAATATTGGATAAAAAAAATACGTCCATTGCTCTTGCGCGAAAACAGCTGTGACCATTATTTAACAAACAATATTTTAGTTTTAAGTTTGGGGTATAAACGATACTTTTTATTTTGTCTTCTCAATTATAGGGTCTAAACGACAATAAAAACTAATCGACAATTCGTATTCATATTAAAGACGTAAACACAAAAAAAAAGTATAAAATGAAAAAATGTCCTATGCTAACGGAAAAAAAGTTATTGCTAATCTAAATAAATATGTTAAAATCACAAATAAATGTTTTTTGTCTCTCCTGAAAACTATGAATTATACCGCTGAGACACTTTACGTGACACCTTCAGTAAAATATTCACCGCTTCAGAAAATCATCGGTATCACGGTTTCTTGTGTTCATGTGCCATCGGGCATAGTTTTTGACAATGATTACAAATATTTTCTACCGATACTCAGCTACTATATAATAATAGCACGGGACCCGAGCGAAATTACACGCGTCGGCGATACCGTAATAATAATAATTTATCGAATTAACGACGACCCCGTTGGTTCGAGACAGCAAGGCAATGCGAAACGGTAAACATTATCGGCGCTGAAACAATACTGTTGTTATTATTTAGAGTATCAAACAAACTGTACATAATAATAATATAGACGTAGATTTACAATATAATGTATTTATATTTACACTACACTATCGATTCAATAATATGTTAGTATAATTCGGCCGGAAATCAACGGAAAAGCCGCCGTCGCAACAGCCGCTGTTTACGAAGCGGGTACGATGTGTTAAAAAGCGTACAAAATAACCGATAGGGATAACCGTGTAGATATTTTGAAAAACTTTCGATATTCTCAAATGTTTCCCGGTAACCTGCAGTAGAGATTTAATAGCCAGTCGTAACATTCCGTAATTTTCTTGGGAAGACTATATTTTGTCGAAAAGCATTTTACTTCGGAAACAAATTCATCGGAAAGTATTTTGTGGAAAAATGATTTTTACCCAACGACGGTGTAAATCAATTGTCTACAATGTAAGCAGTCACGAAAGTCTGATCATTTAATATTTTCCAATGAAATACTATTATATATATATAATACTAAAGAATAAATTTCCGATACGATATTTTCCGAGTTTTTATGCACCCCATTTTCTACAGCCAAGAGCGCCCGGAGGTAAAAATTCAAGAGGCAGATTCCTATTAATAATCAAACACTTTATTTTTTAATGTATAATTCGTATTTTCAAATTTTTTAAAGATATTAAAATATAATATTAAATTTTTCACTTACAGTAACTAATTGAACACAAAATGCAATTTTATTTTATTTTTCCAAATTCATTAAAAACTTTTTTTGTTATATTAAGTTTTTCGGCTTTTATCCTATGTAAACTTAGCATAAAAAATTTTCACACATTAGGTAACCGTAAGTCAGCTGTGCACAAAAAATATCCACAAATGATCGGCTGTAGTGATTGGTACTAACTTTAAATTATAGGGCATTTTATATTGTGATAACAAATTAGCGGAATTCTATGATCACGAAGTATACTATTGTAGATTAGGTACCTACCAATCATGATGTATTGATAAATATCAATACACGTTAGTACCAATAATGCATTTTAAGATTTTGAGATATTGAATTTGGATTTAATTGTTTTCACTTTCTGGAAAGCTAGGGGGAGTTATTACACCTTGCCACCCATTGTGGGCATCCTTGTCTTCAACCACAATGTTTAATTTGTAAACATAACCTGATATTTCACCGATAACCGATAATAACAATAATATTGTACTTCTGTTTACCTACGTAAATGTCCAAATTTAATCAGGACTGATCGTAACATGAATTTTTTTTTTTTTAAATGCCAAAAAATTAATGTAATAATATTATTCGTATTGAAGGGTCCTTTCTGATAATGTTCTATGTTAAAATTCGATTTATTTAAAATACAACAATAGCAACGTCACAGTCGTTCTGGCTGTTTTATTTTTTTTTTTTTCATATCAATTATTCGTTTCCGTCATTTGGATTATGGTAATTTTAAATAATTGTCGGACGAAAAGAAAGCCGAATTGCCTGAATACTGCTGTGGAACATCGAGGCATTTTAATCGAATATTACGAACACAATATCATCCTACGCTACAGACAATCATTACGTTTACACTTTTTTTTTTTTTTTATTAGAATACTGCTTTTTAAAACGTCGTCGTTTTTAATTAATGAAATTCGGTTGTATTACATTGATTGATGTCACAAAATGTGATGTCTCGTTATATTAAACGAAATCCTTTGGAAATTACAATTTTTTACCGATAGTAATACCATGATGATGATATGTATATCATGTTTTATACCAGTTATAATGAAACACCGTCAGAAATTTTTGACATTGAAAAAAAAATCTCAACCGCTTCGTGGTAATTTTGTTCAAAACGAATACATGCATAGTTATGAATTATGAATTTTTATTATTATTTTATTTTTTATCCTAATTATTTTCGAATTTAATTAAAAATTATATTTATGTTATCGTTTTTTATTAATTTTCAGCAGCTATAAACAGTAACACGATTTAATATGATTAATATACACAGTTCAGTATTAAACTTGTTGTTTATTTAGATATTAAGTATGATAAGTGAAGAGTAATTAATTTCTGTTTTTTATTTATTTTTTTTTTTTTTTTACGTATACACTAGGTATTATAAATCAAAAAACTTTCTTTCGTCAAAAAAGAAAAATTAAAATTTGTGAAGTATAATATTATAACGTTATCTACTTTAATTATAATTAAGTAAAGGGGTCGTTATCGTATAAACATCGTGTTTCTATACTACACACAAAGTTTTTAATTTGGTTAATTATTATTATATACAAAGATGATACATTTTATTTTAAAACTTTTATAAGAGTGGGTAGAAAATTTCAACCGTCTAAACCAGATTTAAATTAAATGACGTCATATTTACCGGACATGTTTTATAAGTCTTATAAAAAAAGTATCATAAAATTCAACGAAAGATCGAATCAAAATACACGGAATGATATTTGTTTTTTTCACGGGCCGGTGGTTATCTGCTTAAATTCTAAGGGGAAAATTCAATTTTTTCTTTATATAAAATCATTAAACGAGCTTATTAATAATTGTTTGCGAAATAATATTTATATTACGTGCACCGTAAACATATAATTATATCAACAATCGATGAGTTTCAAATAACAACCTATCAAATAACAACCAAAAATCAAATAAGATTTGAAAAGAGAATAATCATATTTATGGTACAAAAAGTATATATAAACATTTGAAAATGTATTGTTACCATTTAGTTTTTCCATAATGACTGAAAAAAGTATATAGAAACTAAAATGTATATGTTAAAATTCTTGCTGGATCATGTTTAAAAAACAAACACCGTCCTGTATTATACGGATTACAATAAAAATACAGACAAAGGTTATTTTAGAATAAACGGAGACACGGTGACTGTTTTTTATATAATATACATTCAATATAATTTCGTGTTCAATAAATTATTTTATTGAAAATTATTGTTGACAGTCGTTTAGCTATTATACCAGATTACTTACTTATACTTGCCAGTTTGTCCTATTCGTTCTGTAACGCAGGAATATAAACTATACTTATATTGAAAAAAAAAAAATCCCATCGTGATATCTGTCGAAACGTCATTACAGTTGTGTGTTTAATCCTTATAAATGCGTTTTATTGTTTTTTTTGTTTTTGTTGTTTTGTGTTTTTACACTGCGTCATTCGAATAAGACCCCGAATTTTCGTTCATCCGTCGGTGTTGGCGGATCAACAATAAATCTTATGAACGTCTTGCCAGCGAACACGGCGTGTTATTTCATGTATACTATACAGAATATTTGTTTAATTACGAGTTAATTCGTTTTAGTATTTTTTTTTTTTTCAAGAAAATATTGAAACGATATTTGTTATTTAAACGACTGAAATTAAAAACCGATATAGAATTTACTGAAAATCTTCATTTGATATTATTATCGCTTGTTCATGGTACAATGATTACTATCTGTAATAGAGAGAGGATAATGTATATAAATATTCAAGTTATTACACGTGATTATTGATATTATGATAAGGATTTCTTGGTGATATGGATGAAAAAAAAACAGTTGTTATTAAGTGATTTAATTGTCACGAGTAAAAGTCACTTTGTAAATAATAAACTACCAAGCTAAAACGGTTAACCTTAATGATAGAAAACTTAATTAGGATTTTTTTTTTTTTTCATTGTTTGGTTTTGGTTTTTGAAAGATTTTTTTAAAAATTCTACTTTGAATGGTAAAAAAATAAAATAATGAATTGGTATGCGCTTCAAAATACTTCACAAGAATAAATATCAAATGTATAATCTTTAAACAGTTGCCTTACGATATCAGTTGCAGCAACCGAAGTTGTATCAATAATTAATTATTATTGAAAAATATTTTAAAAATCTGTATTTTTGGCATTTTTTTTTTTTTTTTTATAGATTTTTTATATATTTTACTATCGATTTTTATGGCATCTAATCAAAATTGTTTATTATTATCAGTAAAATACAAGTCCGGATAGCAGATTTTTACGATGAAAATATTTTTATATTTTGACGCGTTGCAATATAATTTTACGGGACACAAAAATCGAAAATTTAATAGATGACTCGAGGTCGAACCGAAAAAACGGGGTCACGGATTCCGATCAGATTGATATAATAATATAGAGGTTAAATTTACAGTGAAAAATACAAATATCCGTGTCCTATAGCGAGTTTTCGTGCCAACTCTCATTTATAAAGGATATAATCAACTTCAAAAATTATAGTCAACCGCTCAAACACAGTCAACGGTCGTCGTCCATAAATAATATGTAAGCTATAATATTGTGATCGATACGTGTTCAGTGTGTCTGATATATATTTCGTATTTGATACGTATAATATATACTCGAAAAATCGCGTTTCGCTGGGTACGAAAACGACATAGCATAGGTACTCGTAAAAATAATACCTAATATTATTGTAATGATCTCGTCATAGATGATACATGATCCGAATAAACCAACGGTTTTGAAGAATCGTCGATGATTGGTGAGTCTGAGTGGTAGTGGGGCGACTTTTGTTATTGGAACATTCGTCTGCCCACTCGAGTGAGAAATGCGTGTGATTAATTGAGACGGCGAAAATATTAAATGTTATACGGAATAATCTCTGTTTCTATTTTGTATAGCAGTAACACGATATTATAATTATTATTTCAGAACGCATTTGAAATTCAAATGTCGTCTCACAAAACATGTACATATATAGTTACTAAAATATTGATTCGTTGAAAATAACTCAATAGGAATAGAAAAAATAATTTGGAAATTATACCACATCACACCAAATACGCTAACACAAGCAGTATTCGGTGAAAATCTACGATTAGTTTTTATTGAAATACAAATTTAGAAACAAAAACAAAAAGAATCATTGCCAACAAAAAACTATCCAAAATAAATAATTGACGATTGTTC